TGAATTCACTTAGTTGCTGAAGGGGATCTCTAGCTATGCAGCATTCCTCCTCAGAAAGCAGCCTAAGTCTAAGTCAGCTTTCCTTTTTGTGGCTGGCCCTTATATGAGCCCAGGGTGACTCCACCCTGGGTCCACCCCTTCTGGTCACCTGCAGGAGCACAAGCTGGAAATAATCTACCTGTGCTCCCTGGGCCAGCCACACACCTTCACCCAAGGGCTCAATCACCAGTTCAAGCCATGACCTAACAGCTCTACAGGAATTATGTTTAACCATAAGTCTTTTGAAGCCTGGTTATGGTTCTATTCCCAATGTGTATGCAAGGCAAGTCAAGAATATAACATTTTGTTAGTAATTTTAGATAAGCCTGTAAGTATCTAACAGGCAATGTCTTACTCAGCCAAGTTCAATGCTTACTTTTAACAGACTGAAAATGAAAGTATGAAAAAAAAATAGTGTGAGTAGTGTGAGTGCAGCCTTTTTTATCCCCCATTCTTCTTTTACATGTATGTTTTCTGTTTGCTAGTTCAGAATATTAGTTTCCTGCAGTCATGAAAAAGACAATGTTTGCTTTCCTTGAGCAGTCTAAAAAATAAGCAGTTAAGTAGTTAAAGTTATAGTGTTCCCATTACTATTTTTATGATACACTGTGAAAGTTTGTCAGCAGCAATCTAAAACTGTATATACGGTCACTATAATTTAGATCAGAGTTTTTGTGAAATAAAGACTTCTCTGACTGAGAATAGCCAATTTTTTGCCAAGGCTGAAGCTGCAAATTGTTTTTCTCCAAATATATTGGAAGAATAACAGATTATTTTTAGTAATGTTCTTCACTGGTTCTTTAGAGAGCTCTCAACCATTCAGATTCAGGCCACTACACTGGATGTTCCAGACCTGTGTAACTCCTTACTGCAGCTGCTCCAAATTGGCACCCTGTCTTTATCAAGAGTATTGCTGTTGTGACTGATAGCACTCCTTATAAGTTTTGAGTGGTGTCCATAGGAAACAAATACTGTTTGGACCAGAAAAGCTATGCTGTTCTAGGAATTGGAAGGGGATACATTTCATACCTGTATTTTGAAGCAAGATTTGAAAAATAGAAATGCAGTTTTTAGATGATGATAATGTAGAATATTTCTTTTCCCCCCCCCTTAGGATTTGCATTTATACAACACCCAAGCTTAATGTTCGAACAAGAAGTAAAGTCTCTGTACAACAGTATTCTTTCAGATAAGAACTGTTCAGTAAACTTAAAAATCCAGGTATTAAAAAATCTTCAGACCTACTTGCAAGAGGAGGATACGCGTATGCAGCAGGCAGACAGAGACTGTAAGTATTAAGGTCTGTGCTAATGAGGCATTCAAAATCCAACTTTATTGCTTGCAATTACTATATATTTGAACTGAGTCACTTAAGATTGTTATCTGTCAATAACTTTGTACGCAAAGTGTCCTAGAAGAATCTTCAAACTCCATTATGTGCATAGGTATATTGAGAAGTGCAGCTTATTAACTTTCAAGATGTATAAATCCTGGAAGCAATCTGGAATACATAATTGCTGTAATGATGGTAGCAATATTTTTTATCAAAATCTTCTCTAAGTTTAATTTGCAGATACTAAATAAGAAATAATAAGAAATTTTTAAATTGAACCCCTTTTTTTTTTTTTTTTTTTTTTTTAAGAACAAGAGTTTAATTAAGGTTGTGTCTCTAGCTTTCTTGAAAAATATTTACTAACAGGATTGTTCTACGTTTCATAAGATCACAAACCCATTCTAAGACAGCTGAAAACGGTATATATTGTAAAGCTTAAAGATCAGTAAGCATCAATTAATGGCAAAGTAGATTACACTGTAGTGAGTGTGCTATTGCTTTTGTCTTTTTTACAGGGAAAAAAGTAGCAAAACAGGAAGACCTGAAAGAAATGGGTGATATTTCCTCAGGGATGAGTAGTTCCATCATGCAGCTATATCTCAAGCAGGTCCTTGAGGCTTTCTTTCATACCCAGTCCAGTGTACGCCACTTTGCTCTAAATGTCATTGCATTGACATTAAACCAGGGTCTGATCCATCCTGTTCAGGTATGGTAGGATTTTATGATGGTGTGTGTTGGTGTTCAGGTTTTCTGAGATTTTCGCACTTTCAAGAAAAATTTTCAGTTTCTCTTCCCAGCTGTGTTAAAATAACTTCTTATTGTAGTAAGGGGCCTTCACACTAAGCATATTTCAAAACATGTTTTATGTTGATTAACCATTGAGATTCCAAACATCATATTTTCTTGTCTTTGGGTCAAGACATGAAAATCCAGCCAGTGCCTAAAGAGCACTTAAAAATGGATATTGGATAGTACTACTTTTCTGTTATAAGTATAAATTTTCGGTGTACGCCAGGTCTTTTTCTTCCTTTGATTCTCTATACTGAAAACTGTGTCATCTTGCCTCTGCCCCAATCCCCATATCCTCCAAACACTATGAAATTCCAGACCTAATGTCAGAATTGTCTTCAGTCATCATCTCCATTATTCTTTGCTTACATAATATTTTTATAATTATTTTTAATGCTGCAGCCATCATGCATGTTGAGTCATAAGCAGTGTGGTTTTGTGTTGTTGGTGGTTTTTTTTTTTTTTTTTTTTTTTAATGGCATTTTTTGTAGTGTAAAATGACTTTGGAATTTGAGAGAAATAGGAATACTACTGAAACCCTGCACAACTTCTTTCATAATGCTGGTCTCTCTTATATATTGTACTATTTGCTTGCAAAAAGTAGTCAGGTGGTTAAGTTGCATAATTTCCTATTCTAGTTTCTGCAGTAGTCAGAATACATGATCAATAATGTAATAGAAGAACAAAGAGAGTGATAAAGAGGTGATACAATAACACTGAGCAATTTTTTTTTTTTTTTTTTTTTTTTTTTCTCCAAGTGTGTGCCATACTTAATTGCTATGGGCACAGATCCAGAGCCCTCTATGAGAAACAAAGCTGACCAGCAGTTGGTGGAAATTGACAAAAAGTATGCTGGATTCATTCATGTAAGTAATTCCAATTTGAAATTGTAAAGAATACTGTTTGCTTGTGATTGAACACTTAAATATGCATCAGCTGCAGAAAATAGAATATAAAGTAACAAATAAACAGTAACTTATAAAGCAGTTGTAAAGAAGATCCTGACTTACCTCTGCTCAGAGATCTGTTGTTAGAAATAGAATGGATGTAATTGGATATAATAAATTGAAGCAATCTCTTCCAGGCTAAAATTGTCTTTAATTTATAATTCAGTTTTTTCCACATAAATACATAAGAGCGTTTATTTCAGTTGAAAATTCAAAAAAAAAAAAAAGTTTTGCACTAATATGGACTAAGTATTGGTTTCACTATAGCTGACATAAGCATACATATTTGGTAAAATATTCTGTTCCTGTATGAACATTTCAGTATTCTTGAAAGTAGTTTAAATTAGCATACCTGGCTGTAGTTATTAAACAGATTAGCAAGTATGTTTCTAACATAGAATGAATGGTGAAAGCAGTTCACAAGACATTTTGATCTCTGCCATAAATTCTGATTTAATCTGTTTGCCAACTCAAGAGGTAGTATATGCTGCAGTACATGTTTAAAAATTAAACTTCAGATGAACAATCACTTAAAAGGAAATAAGCTAAAAATGTGTAAGCAGGCATTTGTTTAATCTTCCGCTACAAAAATTATATTATTTTGTGTTTCAGTTTTACTGCCTTAAAGCGATATTTTAAATAAATACTTTTCCATTTCAGATGAAAGCAGTGGCTGGTATGAAAATGTCTTACCAGGTACAACAAGCAATCAATACCTGCACAAAGGATCCTGTAAGAGGTTTTAGACACGATGAATCATCCAGTGCATTGTGTTCGCACCTATACTCTATGATCCGAGGAAACCGTCAACACAGACGAGCATTTCTAATTTCTTTACTCAACCTCTTTGATGATACTGCAGTAAGCATCACATTTCCTTCACTTAAAAAAAAAAAAAAAAAAAAAAAAAAAAAAAAAAAACCCAATATAGCATTACAAGTATTTTTATGACATAATTAGTTTTATCTCCCTAATGTGTTTTATTTTGCTTTGTAATATGAGGGTTTTACCTGTGTGATATTTGTTACTTTCACATAATTGTGCATCTTCCTATACCCAGATTGGATTGATCAGAAATAATGTATCTTCAGGTACGGCTTATGTTCTTATGTTCTTCAGAGTCAGGTGGGAGGTTTCTAAAATAAAATGTGATAATGTTTTTGTTCTACACTGTTAGAAAAATGGGATAAGTTTATAAATCTAATTTATTTGTATGTATATTTATATGTACACTTAAATGTTTTCTTTTAACTTTCAGAAAACAGAGGTGAATATGCTCTTGTACATAGCAGACAATCTAGCCTGTTTTCCTTATCAAACACAGGAAGAGCCACTGTTTATAATGCATCATATAGACATTACGCTGTCAGTTTCTGGAAGCAACCTACTGCAGTCATTTAAAGAGGTATGTGCCTTCACAATTTAATAAGCTTCTCTATAATTTGGTCAATTTTTCAGTGAGTACAAGAAGCATTGCTTCGTAACTAGTCGTTAAAAACCAAGCAACCCTTTCTGTTCTGGCCTGGATCTGAAAGATGTCACTTTAAAACTTTCCATATATTGCTGCTTCAATTATTAAAGAAGAATTTTAAAAAATTGAGATCTTAATATTAAATAGCTGTAATTCCCTAATATTTCTTAATAATAATAAATTGCTTGCATCTGGAAGTACGTGAACCTGGAATCATCATGAAATATTGGTTTGTTATGGTTGTTTTAATAATAAAATTTAGTTTGCTATTTAGTTCTTTTTGGTGTCAAGTACTTGCATGCGTGTTATCTGAGGGGCTTTAATTATATTGTTTACTGCAGGAAAATTGTGCAGTATTTCATAAGGTGGCATATAGAAACTTCAGTCATAATATAATATATATTATAGTAATACACAATCCTGTATCAAAAAGGCCTCTTTTCAGGCTGGACAACTTTAACTGTAAAAGGTCCAAGCTGTTAAGAAACAAATCCATTTCAAAAATTTCCAATCTGATACTAACTGCAACTCAGAATTGATGCCTGGAAAGTAACCTGCTTTGAGTTCTTACCCCACCAAGGTTGAATATTAATCTGCTAGAAAAGGACATTACATTCTGCAGATCAGGCACCAGTGTGTAGCACTCAGCGCAGTAAGGATGAGATACTGACTGGGACATCTCAAGTTCTGTGTTATAGTGTGTACAGTAATAATGCAAGAGTGAAATTCTGTAGCACTACAAGTAGAACTGATTTTAAGTAGCGCTGTTTATGATCACTTGGGATTTCTCTGGTCAGCAGTGTAATTTAATATCATAGAATTTTAACTGAGGCAAGGATTAAAAATGGCTTGGACTGATCTTTACTGAAGTATTTATGGAAATATATGTAGTGCACAGAAATTATGTGGCAAATAAAGGGAATTTTCTTCCTGATTTATTGTATTCCACCTTTTAATGTATTTTTCTGGCACTGCAAAATACTTGCAAGTAGTCTTTAAGAAAAACATGCCAGTTGGTTCACTCACTTCTGTTCTATCCAACTTGCAAAAAAAAACGTGATCTTTTGATCAGGTTTTTGGGAGCTGGGGGAAGGAGCAGGTAATTTGAACATCTTTTTGCCATAAATAATTTTTATCTTTGAATATTGAGTTTGTTCAGGGATTTCTTGCTGATTTCAGTCAATGATGATTTTGAAAAGTTTTTAGAAACATGCATGATGCTACTTTACCCTAATTTTGGAATGTGTGCTAATTTCCCTGTGTCACAGTCTATGGTGAAAGACAAAAAGAAGGAAAGCAAGCCTTCATCAGATGAAGAGGCTGAGAGTGACAGTGGTAGTGAGAGTGAAAGTGAAGAGGAAGCTTGTAAACCTCGGAAGTTACGGAAACGAGTAGACTCTGATTCGGATTCTGATGAAGAAAATGATATAAATGCTGTGATGAAATGTTTACCAGAAAATTCAGCTCCTTTAATTGAATTTGCAAATGTCTCCCAAGGCATATTATTACTTTTGATGCTGAAACAGCACTTAAAGAACCTCTGTGGATTCTCTGATAGGTAAGGATATTTAGATAATAGTACGATCTTGTCATCTAGTAAGTTTTTTGTAAGGATTAAGTTGAAAGTTTGTTGAAAAGTTAATTGTAACTAATAGTTTTAGCAGTAGAATGTTACAGGGGAAAAATTCGAAACTTTATCTTAGAAAAGGCAATGATTTAATTTCTTATCATGGTGTCTATTATATACAAAATGATGAAAGTATGAGTGCTTATATTGAAGATTTTAAAGGCTTTTCATTGAAATTGTTTTGGAATTTTCTTAAAAACTCTTATCCTTTTATTTAAACAGTAAAATTCAGAAATATTCTCCATCTGAATCTGCAAAAGTTTATGATAAAGCAATAAACAGGAAGGCAGGAGTGCAGTTCCATCCAAAACAAACTCTGGATTTTCTGCGGAGTGATATGGCTAATTCTAAGATCACTGAAGAAGTGAAGAGGAGCATAGTAAAACAGTATTTAGATGTAAGTAGAGTTGCATGGCAAAAAAATCTAAAGCTCTTTTAAACTAGCTAACAATAAAAATTTGAAAGTAGATACTGATGAAGTGGACAGACATTTCAAAGTGTTACATTCCTGGTTGGTAGTCTTATGCAGTATTCCAATAGCTCACAACTTCCTTTCAGGATGTTTAGTGGGATTGTCTTTTGAAGTCTACTAATAAATTAAAACATAATTTCAACTAAAGAATATTCATCTTTACAGACTTTTTACAAACTGTAGAAATGCAGGAAGTTTTAGATATCTAGTAGAAAATGTAAGTAAAAAGTGTGTAGAACAAAACACATGAGCTGTTCAAGATTGAAGTTTCCTGCCATTTGTTTTGTCCTGTTTCCTTGTCTTTGGTTTTGTTTAAGGCATTGTCATATAAATGTTTATTTTTAATGGTACAATGTAGGCTCATCTCTTTGGGTTTTTTTGTTTGTTTGTTATAATAGTTCAAGCTCCTTATGGAACATTTGGATCCTGATGAAGAGGAAGAAGACGGAGAGGTGTCAGCTAGCACAAATGCTCGGAACAAAGCAATTACCTCGCTGCTTGGAGGAGGCAGCCCTAAAAACAGTGCAGCTGAGACAGAGGATGATGAAAGTGATGGGGAGGATAGAGGAGGAGGCACTTCAGGGGTGAGGCGGAGGAGGAGTCAACGTATTTCGCAGCGTATTACGTAAAATGATTCTTATGTGCTTATAAATGTCAGTCTACTATATTAAAATGTACACCAAGTAATGTAATCCCCATGAAAGCATTTTGTAGATAGAGATTCTCTACTTAACCCTTTATATAACTTTTTGTAGAAAGTTTAACAGAAAAGACAATAAAAAAATCCTAGAAAATGAGATTTATCCAGTATAAAAAGCTATTAATTTTCCTTTGAAGTGTAATGTGTGCTGTCCTTTCTATTGTTGCCAAGTTTTTATGTAGCTTTTTGATTCATGTGTATATATAATTTTATATCAATAAGAGATAAAGACACGGGTACAAATTAAGAGTATGTGGTTTTACAAGGATATGTTAACCCCTTGGCGCTGGCGGTCGCGGTGCGTCTCATTGCCGGCAATGGAATGTGTGCTGGGAAATCCCAACTCCCGGCGTCAAGGGATTAAAAGCAATAAAAGCAATAATTTCACTAAAGTTCTTTTGTGTAACACTTGGTCTTTTTTCCCTCTAATGTTTTAGTCATTGAGAAGGTCAAAACGAAATTCAGACTCTACAGAGTTGGCTTCACAGATGAATGAAAGTGTTGATGTCATGGATGTCATCGCTATTTGCTGTCCAAAGTACAAAGATCGACCACAAATTGCACGAGTAGTACAGAAAACCAGCAATGGCTTCAGTGTTCAGTGGATGGCAGGCTCCTACAGTGGCTCCTGGACTGAGGCTAAGCGCCGTGATGGCCGCAAACTGGTGCCTTGGGTAGACACTATTAAAGAGTCAGACATTATTTACAAAAAAATTGCTCTAACTAGTGCTAATAAACTGACTAATAAAGTTGTTCAGACTTTACGATCCCTGTATGCTGCCAAGGATGGAACTTCCAGCTAATGAATTTGTACACGCAGCCAAATTTACAGGAATTGAAATAACACCAAAACATGAAATTTCAACTTTCTGGCAAAAAAATAAAAATAATGATGATAAGAAAAATCAATTAAATGAGGAGTAAGAATGGAACCTGGGACACGGGGAAAAAAAACAAGAAGGAAATGTTTGGTAAATGTTTTTGTGGGAGCTTCCTTCGCTGTTGTGCAGCAGAAACTTCTCAATTCATTTTTACTCCCACTGTATTATAGTTTAAAACATTTGTTTATATCTTGGAAAAAAAAACATCTTTCTGTTTAAAAAATAAACAAGTGAATGTTGGAAATTAGTCTGTTAATGTTCTTAATAAAGTGTTCTTGGAGTTTAACCTAGCAGCGGATGGCTTTCTTTAGATTAGCCCAGTTTCTGTAAAATGGCAGAATCTCCTGGATATATAATTTATTCTGTTGAAGAAAAAAAAGGGGGGGAAGCATGCAGTATCTATGACCTACCTGCAGGAGTGCAGAAGGAGTTTTTGTAAATGTAGATTTTGATGTTATTAGGTCACACTGAAAATAATACAGGAAAATGAATCCCCAGGAAATCTGGTGGAGCAAGTACTGCAATAAATTTTTTTACTTCTCTTTGTTACTTGTCTGTTTCCATTTGAATTTCTTATTGTAAAGATCTGCAAGATAAATTATACATGGATAGAAAATCTTATGTAAAATTTACTATATCAGTGGTTTTTAAAACAAGGCAAAAGATGATGTTTATACAGTTTGTATAGGCTGACTTCTGAAAAATTGGCAGATTTTAGTTTTTATCCCTTTTAAAGGGTATAAACAACTCCAGGATTTTATTGTATCCTACAATATTTACTATTAATTAAAACATTTAATACTGTGCCAAACATTTTCAAGAGTACATGTTAATATAAAAACGAAACAATAGTTTATACCTTATAAGCTTCAGTTTCTTTCTAATGGTATCTAAAAAGTAATTTAAGATAGTTTAGATTTTGGGAAAGCTGATATAGTGTTAGCTTGGGCTAACTGCCTATGTATGCATTTGTCTGGGTTAACATATAGAGGTTTGTGTGAAAAGAGGCGATCGCTACCAGTATCTGAGGAGTTAATGGGTATGCAGTTGTGTAATTATGCTACATTCCTTCACAAATTTATTTTAAATATTTGTACATAAGGCTTTTTAACTAATTGAAATATCTTTTCGTGTTTTTTAAGTTGAAAAACAAAAGCAGTTAAAAGCATTCAGAAGCTTCAATTATATTACGGCAAGTCTTTCATAAGTGATTTGACATTCTAGGTAGCAACAAAACTAGCAGATTTACAAACAAAAAATCTAAAGCAGTTAATGTTTTAGGGGAATATTAAATCCTGCTCTATCTTAAAATGTATTTATCTAAAATGAGTTCCTCAGAAAGTAAATATTTTCTTTTCAAATTTAATTTATGGTAGGGCAAGTTTTTTGTGAATCTAGCTTGCACTGTTATTCAATTGTGAAGAAAAGAATGTCTTTAAATGGGTCAAGGGGAAGAACATTAGTCCCCTAGACTATCCCTAGACATATCTCAGGATTTCTAGAATCACCCTACTACAAACTTGTGCTTATAATTGAGAAATGGGGGCCCCTGTGGGTTACCAGAAATATTTCCTCCCCATCCCGCATGGTGGATTATTTTCATGGATTAGATAAAGTTACTTTAATTACAAAAGAGTGCCAGCTAGCCGCATCTACCATGGCATGACCATTATTAAATGCTTTAAATCAGGCGGAAATATCAAGTGTATAATTAATGGATATCAAGATGATACAATCACAAAATAAACAAGAGAGTTAGGCGAAGTGGACTATGATAACAACAGAGAATAAATGGAAGGCTTACCCTTACACTAGGCTCACCTACAAATCACCAGAAGGATGGATCTCCAGACAAGATCTTTTCCCACTGGTAGCCAGCTCTTAAATAGGTCTAGGAGGGGTGGAGCCTGGCTCCCCCCCTTCTGGCAGCACAGGTGAATTGCCTTCACCTGTGCTCCTCTGGCTGACTCATGGCTCGCCTCAGGTGATCAATCAGAGGTTCAGGCCATGACTCAATAGTTCCCATACAATCAAACAATACCTTAGAAAATGAACATCAACTACTATGAGATTGTACTGAAAAATTAGAACAACAACTTGGCACATTAACAGGAAAGAAATCAAGCCTAACTTTTCCAATAAAACAGATCTGCAATGTTACATTAGAAGATACCCAGGGTCCTAAAATAATGGACCTGGATGATTCAGAAAACAAGTTTTCAGGTCAGATCTCAAAGCTCCATCGGAGATGGATCCATTTGAGATCTGTCCTATAATAACTCAGAAAACAAAAAAGTACAAGATAGACCAGCAGGGGTGCCCCCTGATCAATGTCCCCCCTGCCCAAACTCATTTGCATGTAACAGCTCATCCCTATACAGCAACCGAATTAATGGATTTAGTTCAACGATTTCGAAAGAAGCCTAGAGAAAGCATACCAGCCTGGCTTTTGAGGTTATGGGACTCAGGGGCAGAAAGTGTCGTGGTTAAAGGAACAGAAATTTCAAAGTTGGAATCCATTACTTGCACCCTGCCCTTAGACAAAGATTATACACTGCCATTCAACACCAGGATGAGAACCATTCATTAGTAGATTGGTTAATGGCAGCACGCCGTGTGACTTGGCCTAATAAGCCTGACAGTACCATTGTACACAGGTTTATAGTACTCCATGGAGAACCTTCAAACCTATATTTGTAAACTAAGCATGAGAGAAGTAATATATGAGGAAACATTTGAGACCCTGGACTTGGCAAAGTTTTCAGCAGGCATGTAAGACCTGAATTTACAACAGGCTCCTTCCAACCTTTATGGAACCTTAGTTTCCATACTGAACCCCCAGTGACCTCGGAGGCCATTGTCCAACAGGCTTCCCAGTTGACAGTCGATTTGGGAGAAACAGAGCACCTAAAAAACAAGGCGTAATGTTCCAGTGATAAAAGGAGCTGAGATTCTTCTAGTTATTAAGACCTGAAAGGCTGCCCCACAGGCACCCCCAATCAGGTCCCATACAGGTGTCCTGGAAACAAATGTTTAATAATCTCATAAGGGCTGGGATGGCCTTTGCCAAGATTGATCGGCGACCTAATCATATTTTACTTCAACTGTGGTAACAGCTACGAAATGATCAGAAATTTCAAAATACTCCAAAAAGAATGGGAGTACAAATAATACAGCAAGTACAAACAAGAACTTAGAACTTGAAAGACTTTATAGTTCCTAATCATAAAATAAAGTCTCCTCAGGTGACTTGAGCTAAGGTGCCCAAGCCACCTGAAAAAGACCTGGCTATAGGACAGTTTCTGGCGTGACAAGGGATGTTAGTTCCCCTGTAACTAGGGCTTTCAGACGGGACTGGAGAACCTATGTCAAAATAAAAATTTTTTGGTCCCAGAAAGATGTACAAGTTATACTATTGGTGGACACTGTCAACATTTTATGGGTTCCATGATTAGCAGGGTAGAGGAATCTGCAGATCCGCACCTCCAGAAACAGGGGACCCCAAAATAATTAAAAACAACGGTAAAGATCTGAAAAGAAACAAACTACTTTACTAAACAGAGTATCCGAATGCAAATCAACACACTATAATACAATATAATATAGTCAAATCAGAATTGAAGCTAATAAATCAAATATAATGAGAGATTGTCTATCTGAAAGGTGAAAAGGCCTCACCATAATGCTGAGATGAAACACACAGTCTGGTCACAGAATCACAGAATCACCCGGGTTGGAAGGGACCTCAAGGATCATGTAGTTCCAACCCCTCTGCCTAGCAGGGCCACCAAACACACACATTCAGATCAGGTTGCCCAGGACCCCGTCCAACCTGGCCTTAAACACATCCAAGGACGGGGCATCCACAACCTCCCTGGGCAGCCCATTCCAGGGCCTAACCACTCTCCTTGTATAGAACTTCCCCCTAACATCCAACCTAAATCTTCCCTCCTTCAACTTGGATCCATTTCCCCTAGTCCTGCTGTTGTCAGCCCTTTTGAAGAGTTTACTCCCCTCCTGGCTGTAGGTTCCCTTCAGGTATTGATAGGCTGCAATGAGGTCACCACGCAGCCTTCTCTTCTCCAGGCTGAACAAGCCCAACTCCCTCAGCCTGTCCTCATAGGGGAGGTGCTCCAGCCCCCTGATCATCTTAGTTGCCCTCCTCTGGACCCTTTCCAAAATCTCAATGTCTTGTACTGAGGGCTCCACACCTGGACACAGTACTCCAGATGGGGCCTCACAAGAGCCGAGTAGAGAGGGACAATCACCTCCCTGTCCCTGCTGACCACCCCTCTCCTGATGGAGCCCAGGATCCCATTTGCCTTTCGAGCTGCCAGAGCGCACTGCTGGCTCATGTTCAGTCTCTCGTCCATCAGGACCCCCAGGTCCTTCTCTGCCGAGCTGCTCTCAAGGACCACTCCTCCCAGCCTGTACGGGTGCCTGGGGTTCTTCCGGCCCAAATGCAAAACCTTGCACTTTGCCGTGTTGAACCTCATTAGGTTCACCCGAGCCCAGCCCTCCAGCCTGTCGAGGTCCCTCTGAATGGCCTCCCTTCCTTCCACTGTATCGACTGCACCACTCAAACTTGCTGAGGGTGCACTCAATTCCCTCATCGATGTCATTAATAAAGATGTTAAACAGCAAGAACCAGAAAAGAGACATCAGGCGACCTTGCCAGGAGTTATACCTCCTCTCTGATCACAAAGCACCCTAGAGTATGTAGTTCCTCTTCTGGTTCCCCTTCCAGACAAGTACCTGGAACTCAAGCATTAACACTTAAACTCCCAGTATGCTACATAATATTATGATGGGGAAGACCTACAACCAAAAATCATAAAACAATAACATTCCACCCCTTATTCCACATCGCTACAACATGCTTAATATATACAAACAAAAAACAACAATTAAAAAGCATTAAATGCATGCACACACAAACCAATATATATAGAATTACCGACTGCACTCCCCCAACCTCAAATTGCTTTGTAATACTGTATAGGAACCATTGAATCATGGCCTGAAACTCTGAATGATCACCTGAGACAAGCAATGAGTCAGCCCTAAGAGCACAGATGAAGGCAATTCACCTGTGCTGCTGGAAGGGGGGGAGCCTGGCTCCACCCCTCCTAGACCGATTTAAGAGCTGGCTACCAGTAAGGAAGGATCTCTTCTGGAGATCTGCTCTGCTGGAGTTTTTTAAGTGAGCACAGGATAGGAGTAAGGTTTCTGTTTACTCTCTTTTTGTTTTCATTATCTGCTTAGCCAAGCTCTTGTTTATTTTGT